CTGAGAGAAGGACCCCCCACTCCTCGCTCAAAGCAGTAGAGGAAGAAATAAAAGAGGGACAGCCGAGGACCGTGCACTCGCCGGCCTCGGCGAAATCCCCACAAATAAAAGAGGGACAGCCGAGGACCATGCACTCGCCGGCCTCGAGCGAAATCCCCACAAATCAAAAGAGGGCAGCTGAGGACCGAGCACTCGCCAGCCTCGAGCAATAAAAATGAAATCCCCACAAATCAAGCCACATATTTGGCTAAGTACATATCAGGCAAATACTATGCATTATGGAGGAAGCAAGATCATATATGCGGATCAGACGAGCGCTCAATGTCGTCCTTCATTATAGGCACGGCTTCGCCGTCCTCATCATAGGACCGGCTCCGCCCCCTTAGTCTTCAGACGACTGGCTTCATCAGCGCCGTCATCCTCAGATCACGGCAGACCCCCCGGTCTCAACGTGATCCTTCATCTCAAGACCGGCCTCCTCAGCGCCGGGCGTTCTGAACTAGCGAGCGGGCTCGCCATTCTCTTCCTGGATGGCGACCCTCGCCTTCATAGGAGGAGCGACTTCATCAGCACCGTCGTCCTCAGATCACGGCAGACCCCCCGATCTCAACGTGATCCTTCATCTCAAGACCGGCCTCCTCAGCGCCGAGCGTCTTAAGCCAGCGGGCGGGCTCGCCATTCCCTTCCTGGATGGCGACCCTCGCCTTCATACGAGCGGCTTCATCAGCGCCGTTGTCCTCAGATCACGGCAGACCCCCCGGTCTCAACGTGATCCTTCATCTCAAGACCGGCCTCCTCAGCGCCGAATGTCTTAAGCCAGCGAGCGGGCTCGCCATTCCCTTCCTGGATGGCGACCCTCGCCTTCATACGAGCGGCTTCATGAGCGTCGTCATCCTCAGATCACGGCAGACCCCCCGGTCTCAACGTGATCCTTCATCTCAAGACCGGCCTCCTCAGCGCCGAACGTCTTGGGCCAGCGAGCGGGCTCGCCATTCCCTTCCTGGATGGCGACCCTCGTCCTCAAAATGAACGGCCCCTCGGCCTCAACGTGATTATCTATCTGAAGGACGGCATCCTCAGCACCGAGAGCCTTGAGTTTACATGACGAACGGCTTCATCAAATGCCTTCGTCATCATTTATTTGGACCGGCTTCATCAGCACCGTCGTCCTCAAATCATGCCCGACCCCTCGGCCAAGGCGTGATCATCTATCTCAAGTTCGGCTTCCTCAGCGCTGAGAGACTTGAGCCAGCGATCGGGCTCACCATCCCTTCCTGGATGGTGACCATCGCCACTACATGACGCACGGCTTCACCAACGCCTCGTCATCATTTACTTGGATCGGCTTCATCATAGCCGTCATCCTCAAGTCACGCCTGGTCCCTCGGCCTTGGCATGATCATCTATCTCAAGACCGGTCTTAGCCATTCCTTTATCGGATGGCGACCGTTGCACGGATTTTCGGACTGGCCCCTCAGTGTCGTCCATCCTCACGTCACGACTAGCCCCTCGGCCAAGGCGTGACTATCTATCTCAAGATCAGCTTCCTCAGCGCCGAGAGTCTTGAGCCAGCGATCAGGCTCACCATCCCTTCCTGGATGGTGACCATCACCACTATATGACGATCGGCTTCATCATCGCGACCGGACCCTCGGCCAAGGCGTGATTATCTATCTCAAGACCGGCCTCCTCAGCGCCGAGAGTCTTGAACTAGCAAGCGGGCTCGCCATTCCCTTCCTGGATGGCGACCCTCGCCTTCATATGAGGAGTGGCTTCATCAGCACCGTCGTCCTCTGATCACAGCCAACCCCTCGGTCTCAACGTGATCCTTCATCTCAAGGCCGGCTTCCTCAATGCCGAGAGCCTCGAGCTTGCATGATGAATGGCTCCATCAACGCCTTCGTCATCATTTATTTGGACCGGCTTCATCAGCGCCGTCGTCCTCAGATCACGGCAGACCCCTCGGTCTCAACATGATCCTTCATCTCAAGACCGGCCTCCTCAGCGCCGAGCGTCTTGAGCCCGCGAGCGGGCTCGCCATTCCCTTCCTGGATGGCGACCCTCGCCTTCATACGACGAGCAGCTTCATCAGTGCCGTCGTACTCACATCACGACCGGCCCCTCGGCCAAGGCGTGATCATTTATCTCAAGACCGGTCTTAGCCATTCCTTCACCGAATGGCGACCGTTGCATGGATTGTAGGACCGGCTCCTCATCGTCGTCGTCTTCACATCACGACCAGCCCCTCGGCTATGGTGTGATGCTCTATCTTAAGACCGGTCTTAGCCATTCCTTTACCGGATGGCGACCGTTGCATGGATTTCGGACCGGCACCCCAGTGCCGTCGTCCTAATATCTCGAGACCGGCTCCCAACGCCGAGGTACTGTTATAGCGACCGGGCTCGCAATTCCCTTCCTGGATAGCGACCGTCGCCTTCATATGACGCACGGATCATTACCATTGTCGTCCTCACATTCAGACAGGCATCCATCGCCTCGTCCTCATATTCGGACCGGCTCATCAGCGCCGTCGTCCTCACCACCAGGTGGGCGTCCCCTCATCAGACGAACACCGCTTCAACCCCACACCTAGGCCGAAGGGTTCACCCCTTGGAGTTCATTTTGGGGGATCCGGTGTGCTCTTTTTCCCTCATTAGGATTTTTTTCCCACAGGGTTTTTCCTAATGAGGTTATTACCGAGGCATCGCCCCATTGTGGATCAAAAGGTGTCGACCCTCGGCCCCCTATTGAAGATGTGTATTGCTCTACTCCTCTTCACCTCACTACATGAGCCTCGAGGAGTGGGGGACTGGGGGACTACATCGGCCTCCACATACATGAAATCACCCAGAAAGCAACAAAAAGCAAGGACTACCAAGTGGTACCTCCGTCGGCCATGTCTCCATCGGCCAGAAGAAGATCTGGGGGACTACATCGGCCTCCAGCGTAAAGAAACAAATTCAAAATCCAACGAACACAAGCCCATGACCACGGCACCTCAACGTCCAACAACCATGTGTTCACCCTTCGGCCAGGCCGAAGCGCAAAGCAGGACGCACATTGTCCTCAATGTCAAGGATACACATCGTCCTAAAGATCAAGGGCACGTGTCGTCCTCAAAGCCAAGGACACTCCTCGTCCTCAAGGCCAGTGGCACGCATCGTCTCTGGGACTATGACATTCATCGTCCATATCACGAACAAAACGAACACGCCACGAACGTCCTCAAGCGTAAGGTCCATCAATTAAAGTCAAAAACACAAGGACATGACATTCTTCGTCCACAGAGCCAAGGGCGCACAACGTCCTCTGGTCCAGGACCCTCATCGTCCTCAAAGTGAAGGACATTCATCGTCCTCAAAATGAAGGACATCCATCGTCCTCAAGACGAAGGACATTCATCTTCCTCAAAATGAAGGACATTCATCTTCCTCGAAACAAAGGACACCCATCGTCCTCAAACAAGAGATAACCACAATGGCCTCATCAGCCCAAAAGGGAAGTTCAAACCATCAACGACCAAGGATAGACACTACCTTCGTCGGCCACTCATTCCGGAACACTCATCGTCCGCAAACAAGCACACCAAAGGAGTAATAGCCTTCCTCGTCCACATCAAGGAACAGGTAACGGCCAAACTCAGAACAGGGCCACCAAACGCCACGACAGGGAACAGCCAACGTGGTCCCGCATCGGCCAAGAGCATCAAGCACAGAAATCTACTCTCCTTCACTTCGTCTACATCTAAGCTTAGAGAGTGGGGGACTCCTGATGGAGTATACGGGTCTAGGCCCCAGGACCCACATACTCAGAAGAACAGAAAGTACAAGCCACTACGCAGTGCCCTCGTCGGCCAAAGGACCCTCGTCGGCCGAAGAGGGACCGACTCAGAATATGATCCTGAAGCCAGAGAACTAGGGTGACCTCGTCGGCCATGCCCTCATCGGCCATGCTCTCATCGGCCATGCCCTCATCGGCCAGGAAAAGGTCTACTCAGAATATGATCCAGAAGCCAGGAAAAGGCCATGCCCTCATCGGCCAGGAAAAGGTCTACTCATCGGCCATGATCAGAATATCACATTTATATAGAGCTCCCACTTTTTTCTCTCTCTCAACTTCATACGTATATCATGTATTCACCGAGTTGTTTGATATTTCTTGTTCTACATCATTCTGCATATTATTGTTTAGTGTTAATCGACTGTTGTTCTGGGAATTCATAATTCTATTTGTGCACTTATCAATGTTTTCGTCCTATTTAAGAAATCAACTCTATTATTATCGGTTCCTAAATTCCCCCCTACAATGATGTGATTATTCTAAATCGTTTCATTTTTTATAGTTAAATCATTCTAATTTTTTAAACTCCGCCATGATATCATTTTTTTGGTATCATGCTTGTCCCAAGCTAGGATAAAGGAGGAGGGTGTTGTGGTAGGCGTGTGACGGCCAACAGTATCACCTAGTCACATCACATGACATGAATCGAAATATGAATATCGCTAATGCTAGGTCTTCACCCGTAAGTGACGCGTCATCCCTCCGCCTGGGGGTGGTGTCAAATATGCAAGGGCGCGCTACACTTGATAGACTTGGGTGTGGTGATAAGAATGCTAAGGTTGCTAGGTCACCGCCCAGAAGCGGCGCGTCATCCCATTTCCCGGGGATGATGTCAAATATGCAAGGGCATGGTGGGGTCCGAGATGGGGCTAAGAACAAAAGGTGGAATGCTAGATTGCGTTTTGGGACATGGAATGTTGGGTCTCTTACAGGCAAATCTTCCGAGGTAGTCGATGTTATGAGCAGAAGGAATATCAGCATTATGTGTGTGCAAGAAACTAAATGGGTTGGAGAGAAAGCACGCGAGATTAATCCCGGAGGTTTTAAGTTGTGGTATTCGGGGAGAGATAAGACTAGAAATGGGGTAGGCATTATTGTGGCGCGTGACTATGTTGAGGATGTGGTAGAAGTCTTCAGGAAGAACGATCGCATCATGAACATTAAATTGGTGATAAGAGGTGAGATTGTGTCTGTGGTAAGTGTCTATGCACCACAAGTGGGATTGGATGCATCTACAACTCAACAGTTCTGGGAAGATCTTGAAGACGTGGTGCGACGAGTGCCAAGGGGAGAGAAGTTGATCATAGGAGGTGACCTCAACGGGCATGTGGGCTCGAGTCGTGATGGCTTTGAGAATATTCATGGCGGACATGGTTTTGGCACTAGGAATGAGGCGGGAAAGAACATTTTGGATTTTGCCTTGACGTATGAGTTGGCTATAATGAACACTTGGTTTAAGAAAAGAGACTCTCACCTTGTAACCTATAAAAGTGGAGCTAATAGTACCCAAATTGACTACTTCTTAGTACGAACCACTTGGAGAACTAGCTACACTGATTGTAAGGTTATTCCAGGTGAGAGTGTTGTCACTCAGCATAGGATGCTTGTGCTTGACTTTCGAGGTAAGAACCATAGAAGACAAGTTAAACAACAAGTGAAGCCAAAGATAAAGTGGTGGAGGCTTGAAGGAGATCTTCAACAAAGCTTTACACACAAAATGGTCGGTGAAGATGTATGGCGTATTGATAATGAAACACATGTGGATGATGTGTGGTTATCAATGGAGTTGACCATTAACAAAGTGGCAAAGGAGGTACTTGGAGAATCTAAAGGATGTCGGCCACCTAAAAAGGACAGATCTTGGTGGAATGATGAGGTGAAACAAGCCATAAGGAACAAAAGAGATTGCTACAAAAAGTTGGGGACAAATTGGAGTGATGAGAACATAGAAGCATACAGGGAGGCTAAAAGACAAGCAAAGAAAGCCGTAAGGGAAGCACGAGGGAAAGTGAACAAGGAGTTGTATGAAAAGTTGGACTCTAAGGAAAGAGAACTAGATATTTATAGACTTGCTCGTCTTCGTGATCGCAGAACTCAAGATATTGCAAAAGTTAAGTGTGTGTAGGATGTTGATCAGAGGATATTAATGGACGACGGAGAGATAAAAGAGGGGTGGAGGTCATACTTTGATACACTATTCAACGGGAACAAAACGCAAGATATCGGCGATTTGTCCATACCAGATTGTATGGTAAACCGTGATTTTGTGAGAAGGATCCAAACAACGGAAGTTAAAGAAGCTCTGAGGAAGATGGGACGGAAAAGAGCAATGGGGCCAGATGGCATACCGATCGAGGCTTGGAGAAGTTTGGGAGAGAGAGGCGTCGAGTGGTTAACAAGTTTCTTCAACATGATTTGGAGAAACAACAAGATGCCAACGAGTTGGAGGAAGAGTACTCTTATCCCCTTATTTAAGAATAAAGGTGATGTACAAGAATGTGCCAACTATCGAGGGATTAAGCTTATGAGTCACACCATGAAACTTTGGGAGCGAGTGATTGAGCAAAGACTTCGAAGGACTGTGAAGATTTCAGAGAATCAATTCGGTTTTATGCCTGGTTGCTCAACAACTGAGGCCATTCACCTTCTTTGGCAACTTATGGAGAAGCATAGAGATGCTCATAAGGATCTGCATTTGGTGTTCATTGACTTGGAAAAGGCATATGATAGGGTACCTCGAGAAGTTCTTTGGAAGGGCCTTAACTAGGAAAGGCATATCACGTAAGTATATCAGCATCATCATGGATATATGTATGAGGATTGTACTACAAGTGTTCGTACTAGTGTAGGGAGGACTGAAGAGTTCCCTATTACTATCGGAGTGCACCAAGGATCAGCCTTGAGTCCTTTCTTATTTGCCATAGTCATGGATGAACTTACGAAGTCAATTCAAGACGATATATTGTGGTGCATGATGTTTGCCGACGATATTGTATTGATTGATGAGACGCAATCAGGTCTTAAAGCAAAGTTGGAAGTATGGCGGCAAACATTGGAGAATAAGGGTTTCAAACTAAGTCGGAGCAAGACAGAGTACATGGAGTGCAAGTTTGGTGGAGGTAGAAGTGGTGGTAATAGCGGAATTACTCTGGATGGTAAGGAGATACGAGTCAACGATATGTTCCGTTACTTGGGCTCCATAATTCAGAAGGACGGTGAGTTAGATGGAGATGTATCCCATAGAATCAGAACAGGGTGGATGAAGTGGAAGAGTGCGTCAGGATTTCTATGCGACCGAGGTATGCCGACTAGACTGAAGGGTAAATTTTATAGGACAGCAATTAGGCATGCATTACTGTATGGCGTAGAGTGTTGGGCGGTGAAACAATGTCACATTCAAAAGATGAGTGTGGCAGAGATGCGCATGCTGCGTTGGATGTGTGGGCATACTAGGAAGGACCGCGTGAGGAATGAGACAATCAGACAAAGAGTGGGAGTAGCACCTATTGAAGACAAGATGCGGGAGTCGCGCCTACGGTGGTTTGGTCATGTGCGTAGAAGACTGAGTGATGCACATGTGAGGCGAGTTGAGATGTGTGGAGAAGAGGCAGGGAAGAGAGGGAGAGGAAGACCCAAACAGACGTGGGTTAGGGGAGTTCAAAGTGATATGCTTCTTCTGGGGTTGGATGAGGGCATGACTTTGGAGAGAACTAAGTGGAGGGCGGGTATTCACGTGAAGGAGTGATCTTGATAATTTTTTTCCCTCATCTTTTTTTTCCTAGTTTTTTTATCCTTATATATATATATAAGCATTATTTGCAGCCTTTTTATTTTATCATTTTTATATATATTCATCTTTTTTATATTATCTTTTCATAATAGCTTATCTTTTTATCTTTGTTCCTTCTTTTCCTTTTGGCTGTGATATCATGTATCGATTCATGTTAGCCGACTCCAATATCTTTTGGGACTAAGGCTTGGATTAAAGTAAAATCATTCTTATTTTTTGAGTTCTCATCCGAAAGAAACAATTCAGAATTTGACTTCTTTATACAAACAAATTTTTCTATTGAACCTTTTTACTTAACACCACTTTCTCTAGTTATCTCCTCTTTTTTCTTTATCATATCTGATTCAATCATTTTTATTACACCTTGAAGTTAATAAATTTTTTAAATTTAATTATAATTGAATGAATGTATTGATGAAGTGTCTTACACCTAGAATCTTTTTTATTTCCCGTCATAATAAAAACTAAACAATAATAATTGAGTACTACTTTTATATTGCAAATTGGATATTAGTGATATAATTTAAAAAGAACATGTTTCAGAATAAATTTGATAAATAATAACTTCACAAAAAAACTTAACACAAATTTTATAAGGTAGAAAAAATCGTTAATTAGGTTTTATATTGCAAAATAAATATAACCACTAATATTTGAGACATGAACATGAAAATATGAAAATAGTAAAGGTATATATAATATAATAAATAATAATTTCTAGAGCATAGAGACATCAAATATTACAACTCTTCAAAAAATCAATTACAATAATAAGTTTATAAAATCTAAGTAACCCGTCTTTACAATTGTTATGCCTAACCTGCAAAAAATGTAAATGAGAACATGATTTAGATGCTCACATCTATAGGACATTGGCAGACTTTGGCGATGATTACGTTAGAAAAATCACAAGAACTACGTTAACTTTTGCATTTGTCTCCTAGACTATTTCTTTATTAATAAAATTTACTTTTTACTTTTATACGAAGTACATATTTATTTTTTGTTGTAAACTAGTCGTCTATAATAAATACATTTATATATACGGTCATGTTCCTATCAGGACGGCATGACCGGAACCGCCGTCCAAGTCAAGCCCGTGTGAGGGGTTTCCGGCTAAAAAAAATTTGACGATATTTTGTGAGCACATTCTCATGAAGTTTAGATTATCTCCACAAAGTTTCAGCCTTAAATTCAATCCGGAAGTCAGTTAAATAAATTATTTTAAAACACTGCACTTTTAAAACACAAGCGCAGTGGTATTCTGTAATTAATTTAACTGACTTCTCGATCGAATTTTAAGCTAAACTTTTGTGGAGATAATATAAATCTCATTAATAACATGCTTACAAAATTCCATTAAAAAAAATCACCTGGAAGACATCAAACGAACTTGGACGGATGGCAATTTCGAGAGAATTAATACTAATTTAACTGATGTAATATATTTAACTGAACTTAAAATACTAATTTAAAATTATTACATTTAAAAATAAATACAAAAAGAAATATAAATAAATTCCTAATGTAGATAAGAAGAGCTAGAATTAATGTTGGCAGGAAGTGCAATGATTCTTACAAGGTACGTGTGCAATAATGTTGTGCACCAATGTCGTACAGTAACTGCAATATAAAGTGCAATATTTTTATTTGGACCAAAATATTGTAAAATCCACATTTTTTAAATAATGATATTTTTGTCATTAAACAGTTTTATATGATGGAATTTTTCTTTTTATTTTTGCTTTTCAATAATCATACAAATGTTTAAAAACATAGCTAGTCACATTTAGGGAAAGTCAATATGTATTATTCATATCCGGGAAATTTTCCCTAGAATAAATAACATGAACTCTATCATACATGTGTGAGTTAATAATTATCCCACAATAACATTAATTATATAAATTAGTGAGAAAAGGAGTTTCGTTAAAGGAAAAGTTGTGAACTACTTTTTAACACGTAATATATTAAAAATTATTTGGCTATTAGCTCTAAATAGGAGCAATAAACTCCTAAATACAAGAATAGGAATACACTCTTTTTATTCTCAAAATAGGAGTAAAAAATGTTCTATCTTCTTATTTAAGTTTCTCCACTTCCTATAATCCCAATATGTCTTAGGAGGCGTTTACTTCGTTGCTAAAGTCACAGTTAGGCTAGTAACACAGGTGAAGTAAACACGCAAGTTGCTTAAAAAGCTGGTTACTAACCGAAAGAGGTGCTTAAAGTGCCGCTTAATAAACATATCACCCCAATGTATTAATTAAACAGCACTTTAAGCTTTTCAGTTTCCGAATTTACCCTTACTTTTACCCCTTGCCTTTACCCTATTGCTACCCCACTACCCCTCCCTACCCTACCTTACCCCGACCCCAACCCCGACCACCTGACCCCACCCCAACCACACCCTGACCCCCTGACCCCACCCTCACCCTTGACCGATCATACCCACCCCCACCTTACCTCTACCCCGACCCTACCCTCCACCACTTGCCCTACCCCACCCTCACCCTCACCCCTTACCCTACCCCTTTACCCCATACCACCTTCCCCTACCTTGACCCAACACCACCCTACCCTCTACCCCCACTTGTACCCCTTACCTCAACCCTACCCTTTTACCCCTACTACCTGCCCCTACCTCAACACAACCCCCGACCCCGACCCCACCCACTCCCATTACCATACTCCGACCCCTACCCCTTTACCCCAAATCACCTGCCCCTACCTTGACCCAACC